CGCAAGCACAGTCCGAGGCTCGGCTCAGCTGGCGCAAACGCGTCACGCACGGGATCGGGAAACCTGGGGACGCGGACGGGCGTGCGCCACCAGTCCGCTTGCCTGTGGGCCAAGACGGCCACGGCAAACACCCCTGGCCGCGCCGCGTCAGCGTTCCGCTCTCGCCGCAAAGCCTTCCCTGGTCTCGGGAAATGGATTAAAGATGCTTGTTACCCTCACCGAGCCTCGCCTGCAACGCCTCACCAGCGTGAATCTGCACATCTGAAAAGCACGTTGGGTCAACGGGAGGAGCTGCGAGGGACCGAAGCGCCCACACGACTGACCGCTACTGTGAGGACCATGCGTGCAGGATGCTGCATGCCGGTGCCTACGGTAGGTTCGCGTCGTGTCGACCGGCGGCGATCTCCCCGCCAGCGTTCAACGTTGAACGCCGCTGGCGACTCAGAATCGGTCCATCGTTGATCGATTCGGCCTTTCTGAAGCGGCCGATCGTGTCAGGCTGCACGATTCCCCCGGTGTCGGGCACCAATGCTGGGGCCGACACGACGCGACGCGAACCGTAGTCGAAACACGCCGAAGCAGCACGCCGACCGACACGTCCTCTGGAGGACTGCGGGAGTCTTCGGGGTGTCCTCGTTCGGGGGCGCGCAAGCATGGATTAGCGATCCGTGGATTTTGGCGCGCGGTCGCCAAATCCATGGATCCAGGGAGGTGCCCTCCCCAAAACGCGGCCGGCGCCGCCCCGCTCGGCGGCGGGAATCCGCGATTTCCCATGGAAACGGGACCCGTCGCTAATCCACGCCCCCTTGATCCATGTTTGCGATCGCCTGAATTGGGCGGTTTGGAGTCGATGCATGCCCCCTTGAGCCTATACACCCCCCTAACGTTGTCCCCGAGCAAAGGGCGACGGTCCGAGCTGCCAGACCGCGCCGTAGGATCAATCAGCATCGATCCTCGATCTTTCTTGATATGGCCCAGACATCTGACATCTTGAATCGGGAGCCCCCTTGATCCATGTTTGCGATCGCCGGACTCGTGGAGGGCGCCCGCGGCTGCCCGCGCAGGAGAGAGAGAGAGAGAGAGAGAGAGAGAGCGAGAGAGAGAGCCGAGGAGGGAGAGAAAGCAGTTGGGCAAGAGGAGCGGCCCGGGTAGCTTCGACGGCGCGCGCGGTGGTCAGTCAGGGAAGGGGCCCAGGGACACACAGACAAGTAGACACGAATAGCACGATTCTCCACAGATTTTCCAATATTTTCGGGGTGCTCGTCTTCCCCCCCCCCCACACTTCCCACAGTCTCATAGGGTCCTGGGAGTCGACGATTGATTGCGCCTGTGCTTTTTTCCAACTCCCGAGTCAGTCCCTCCCCGGTGGGGCGGACCTTGGCTTAGGTCGGGCACGTCCTCCTGGGCGGATTCTGCAAGAAAAACATTAAAACACAAAACAGTCACAACACATACTTCTTGCACGACAGTGCGAGCACGGCACGAAAGATCGGCACCAGACTTGTTTGTTGACTGTTCTTGAACATTCTTCCTATAGAGGGTCAGGCCCGACTTACGAATATTGGCGGCGCGCAGAGGGGGATGGGCGTGGGGGGGGCTGCTTAGAAGGGGGGCTGCTTCTTGAAGGCGCCAGCCCGACATCTACAGACGAGGCCCGCGCCTTCTGCGAAGCAGGGGTGCTTTTCTGAGAAGCCCTCCCCACCCCCTCCTCCTCCTCCTCCTCCTCCTCCTCCTCCTCCTCCTCCTCCTCCTCCTCCTCCTCCTCCTCCTCCTCCTCCTCCTCCTCCTCCTCCTCCTCCTCCTCCTCCCCCCCCACCCCCCTCTGCGCGTGGCTGGAAATCTTCACCCCTGAGACACGCCTGACGGCCCAGGGCCCGAGAGCGGCAGCCGCAGTGCAAGAGAAAGAGCGCACCGGGATGACTCTCCGGCCCCGCGGACGGCGACTCTGACAGACCACGGCGTCGACGTTTCCCTCACAGAGGCCTGTTAGCTGGAGGCCGAGAAGATGGTGTCGGAAGAGCGCGCCGCATGGCCGATGCATCGCCGATGCATCGGCGATGCACCAGTGATGTCGGCGACGCATCGGCGCCGTCGGCGTAAGGAAAATCGAGCTCTACATCGATCCTCCGACCCCATCTGCTCGGACCCTGGGCGGCCTGTAGCAGCACATGCTGCTGGGAGCCAGCGGCGGAACATCATGGCCTGCTCGACATGGGGGTTACCAGTGGATGTCAAGGTGCGTATATCTGGCCTTGCCAAGCCTATGAAAGGGCTACACATGCGCCAAGCGGCTTGGGGTGATTAATATCCAGGCGAAGTGGACTCCGCCCACTCAGCGGAGTGATCTTCCCTCCTAAGCCACATGGGGCATTTGTCACCCACTCATAAGCTAGGTTAGGGCCCTCTGGGCATCCACTGAGTACCCCCTATCCTTCAGGACAGCCCAGAATCGACTCGATACCAGTCGGATCGTCGGATCGGCGAACGAAATGAATCGGATCGGCGGAGATCGGCAGCCAAGTCATGAAAAGTCGAATCGGTGGATAGTGAGTAGTGAGGCCTCAGAAGAGAAATCGGAATCAGAATCGGAATGCGAGGCCGAATCCAATCGGAGGAATCGAAGCGAACCCTGCCTAGCCCCTCAGCAACCCCTGCGCCGATCCCAGCAGGGCCTGCCCCCGCCGAAGAGCGCGGTCCGGGGCCCCGGGGCAGCATCGCGAAAAAGAACGCCCGGAGTCCTGGATCCCATCTTCCTGTGTAGAGGCCTCAGAGAAGCCCCCGAGAGGCCCCAAGAGACCCCCAGAAGGCCCCCAAGAGGCCCCCGAGACGCCCCAGAGGGCCCCAGAAGTACCGCCAAAGGCCCAAAAAAGAGGCTCCAACAGACCCCAAACGGCATCAAAAAGGCTACGGACGCGCAGACAAACGCCTGCGATGGCACAATACGGGCTGGCGGAGTGAGCGAAGCGATTCGAAGGGGCCCTGGGACACACAAATAAATACACACCCAAATAAAAATACTCCCCATATGTTCCCACATGTTCTGGGTTTTTGTCCCCCCCCCTTCCCACATTTTCGCATATTTTCTGGGAATCGAAGATTCATTGTGTTGCGGGCAATATTAATATCCATATCCAGTGCGTCTTGGACTTTCTTGGAAGGGGCGCCGCAAGGCCGAGGCGCACTGGATATGGATAAAAATTGAGCCTTTGGGACGCAGATTATAATCCATATCCAGTGCGCCTCATGTTTCTTGGGAAGAGAAACCGAAACTCCAAGACTCACTGGATGTGGATAAAGACATTGCCCGCATGTGTCTGTGTGTGTGTGTGTGTGTGTGTGTGTGTGTGTGTGTGTGTGTGTGTGTGTGTGTGTGTGTGTGTGTGTGTGTGTTTTTCCCTCCTAACAATTGCAGAACAACGCCTGGAGTCATGGCTCCCGTCCTCCTGTGCCGAGCTTCGAGCCGGATCTCTCTCTCTCTCCGTGAGGGTCCCAGGGCCCGCAAATCTGGGCGGCAAAAGCGCTCCGTGCGAAGAAGTTGCCACGCCTGGACCTCAGGGAGGGGGAACACCCTGACCTTCCAGGAGAGCTCACAAGAATAGCACCAGGACATCGATGCCATAATTCCTGTCGAGGTTTGGGGCAGCCCAGGTAGGTTTCTAGGTCTGGAGTGCTATTTCTTGGCACTCTGGAAGGTCAGGGCAAGAGCAAGCAGATCGAGCTCCGACTCTCCCCCCCAGCCGGCCACGCGCAGAAATGGCCCTTGGCAAGAGTGACCCTGGTGCGCGGACTGAATCGGGCGCCGGGGGGAAGGCGGGGGCAGTCCCGAGCGCGCAGGCAACCGTCATCAGAGCTCGACCTAGCAAGGGTGCTCCGTGTCCGTTGTGCTCTCGTGCTCCGTCGTTCTGTCTTCGCCCCGCCTGTGCTGCCAAACGGCATCCACAGGAACACGCTGCACGAGATATCGCTACAGCATCGTCTAGGTCGAGCCCCAGCTGCTGTCGCCTCGCGCTCAGCGATCGAGGGGGCCCCGAGGAGCCCGCACCAAAGGCCACCCCAGCGAAGGGTCGCTCTTGCGCGTGGTCGTCGGACGGGGCCAGCACGAGGACGAATTCGTTCCAGAGCGTTCCAGGACGCCCTCAGCGCGGCCCGGGCCGCTCTGAGAAGGCCGCGGCGCCCGAGACGTCCTCGAGAGCCGCCGGATCTCAGAGATCCTCGACCTGTCCTCACCGATCTGATCCTCGTGCTGGCTTCGTCTTGTGGTCGACTTGAGTAGAAGTCTCTTCGATATGGTCCGGATAGATGGGGTCGGAGGAGCGCGCCGCATCGCCGATACACCCGCGATACATCGCCGATGCATCGGTGATGCATCGGCGACGCCGGCGATGATCGGCGACGTCGGCGTGGAGGAAATCGAGCTCCGCATCGAGCCGCGTCGCCGATGCATCCGCGATACGGGGCGAACTTCTGACCTCATCTTCGGCGGCAACTCATGGGAACCTGCCATACCATCGTGTCGGCTCTTGCGAACCGACGCTAATCGACGCTTGTCGACACTAATCGACGCCACATCGACACAACATCGACGCTAATCGACGCTAAGTCGACGCTCTCACATCGGCTCCCAGACGCTAGCTGATGCTAGTCGACGCTAAAAACAAAATTACGAAGGGTTGCACCAGGCTCCCATGATTCGTTGCCGAGCTCATCTGCTCGGGCCCCATGCGGGAGGCCTAAAATGACGAACGAACAACACACACCCATACCCATAGGGAGGTCGGAGGGAGAAGGACTGGCTATGGGTATGGGTACGGATTGTCGGACCCCTGGGGAGGCCCCCGTTCGAGCGGGCACCGCCATCCGACCGCAAGCACCCATGGCTCATTCCGCCCCCCCTGTGGGTGTGGGGGAGCGTGCTGATCACTCGCCACGAAGCCCGAGGGCGCGCCCCCGCCGATGAGCGCGGCCCCGGCCCCGCCCCCCGCCCGCCGGCGGGCGCGTGCCCCGGCGCTCGGCCAGCAGCTGCAGCATCAGCGGCACGGCCTGCGCCGCCGCGGGCAGCATCGCCTCCGCGCGCGGGGGGGATTACATGTGGGGCCTCCCGAGCCCAGACCTCCTCAAGCCCAGACCTCTTCGATTATGTGGGGATTATGTGGGCGAAGGCGAGAAGCCCAGACCTCCTCGAGCCGGGTGCACGCTTTCTGGCTTCGGCGTCTCCAGAGTGGGCGGAGGGGGGGGGGTCCGGCTCCGCGCCTCTGCTCTGGCGCGACCGCTTGCACCCTGTGCGCCCTGTGGAGGATAAGACTCCACCTGCTTGCAGCAAGCGCCCAAAGACAGCCAAGACCTGCTCCATTTGAGGGGGAAGGGGATGCGAGGGCCCGCGCCGATCGTCGGCAAAACAATGAATAGGAAAACGATCATCAGCACCAAAAAAAAAAAAAAACGGCAAATGCTTGGCAAGTTTCTGCCTCCGAGGGCCCTGCTCGGGCCTTGGTGCCCTCAAAAGACGGCTCAGGATGAGGAATCGGTCCCGGGGGATGGGTCGAGACCTCTGAAGGTCGAAGTGATGAAACAATCATGGCGCTGGAGGGTGGCCTGAAAACGGGTCTCACAAGCATCGCTTATGCGATCCCTGTCCCCACTGGCGGGGCCTTGGTCCCACTGGCCAATCTACCCCCCCTAAAACCTAGACGGGGACATAGCCGGTTCCCCGCAAGTTTCGAAGTTCCTATCCCCAACTGGGTTGGTGGGATGGTGGGGCGGAGATACCATGACATGGTTGAGATGCGACCTCCCGAGCGATCGGCGGAACGAAACGTCACAAGGAACATCCTGGAAACCTCGCCCGGCAGCTTGAGACCCAACTTATGTCGGATGCACGTTGGATATATGTATATATACCTATACGACCACCCTTCGGGTGATAAGGAGGTTCGGGGGGGAGGAACCAACGTCTCACTCGATCGGTCTCACTATCGATCTCACTATCGATCTCAGTATCGGTCTCGCTCGGTCGATCTCCCTCGATCGATCTCACAATCGATCTCACAATCGATCTCACTCGATCTATCTCACACCCGATCTCACTCGATCATCATCATCATCATCATCATCATCATCATCATCATCATCATCATCATCATCATCATCATCATCATCGTCCTCATCAGCATCACCATCACCATCATCATCATCATCATCATCATCATCATCATCATCATCAGCATCAACATGAGCATCATCAGCAGCATCATCAGCATCACCATCACCATCATCATCATCATCATCATCATCATCATCATCATCATCATCATCATCTCATCATCAACATCATCAGCAGCATCAGCATCAGCATCAGCATCAGCATCAGCATCAGCATCAGCATCATCAGCATCAGCATCATCATCATCATCATCATCATCATCATCATCATCATCATCATCATCATCATCATCATCATCATCATCATCATCATCATCGCGGGACACCGCGGGACACCGGCGGGACACCGCGGGCACCGCGGGGCACCGCGGGACACCGCGGGACACCGCGGGACACCGCGGGACACCGGCGGGACACCGCGGGCCACCGGCCGCCCGGAAGGGAGACATTTGGTCTGGCCGCGCCTCAGCCACACGGGACACCAGCGGGACACCGGCGGGACACCGCGGGCCACCGGCCGCCCGGAAGGGAGACATTTGGTCCGGCCGCGCCTCAGCCTCAGGAGACTTTCTTGTCGCCCGCCCACGCAGCTTCGCCTCGCCGCACGCACGGCACGCACGAACACGAAACCGAAATCGATTTCCCGGTAGGGGGGCTCTCCGTTCCACTTCGATCTCACCCCCTCACCTCCGACATATATATATATATATATATATATATATAAAAAAAGCGCGCCACTGGAACACCCTGTAATTGAAGAAAAGCGGTGTGCTCGCAGAACCCCCCCCCCCTCCCACCCTTCCTTGGGGGGGGTGAGATTTTCGACCCCCCCCGCCTCCCCTCCTTCAGGGGGGGGTCCAAACCTCCCCCCCCCCCCCCTTGAAGGGGGGGGAGGGGTCCGGACCCCCCCCCCTCCCCCCTTGGCGCTGGAAAGGGGGGGGGGGGGTTGCACCCCCCCCCCCCTCCCCCCCTTTGCGCCCGAAAGGGGGCCGGGGAGGGGGGGCATCTCTCGCTTCTCCTTTCTGCGCCGGAGAAGGTGTGTAGGGAGTACGGACTTGGGAGTAGGGAGTAGTGGGTAGTGAGTTAGTGCGTAGTGAGTGGTGAGTATTGGGTACTGAGTAGTGGGTAGTGAGTGGCGAGTAGGGAGTAGGGAGTAGGGAGTGGGGAGTAGTGAGTAGTGAATACTGAGTAATGTGTACTGATAAGTGATTAGTGAATAGCGAGTAGTGAACAGTGAGTAGTGACTACTGAGTAGGGAGTAGGGAGTAATGAGTAGTGAGTAGTGGGTAGTGAGAAGTGAGTGGCGGGTAGTGACTAGTGAGTGGTGGGTAGTGCGTAGTGTGTAGTGAGTAGTGAGTCGTGAGTACTGAGTAGTGAGTACTGAATAGAGAGTAGAGAGTAGTGAGTAGTGGGTGGTGAGTAGTGACTAGTGAGTAGTGGGTAGTGCGTAGTGAGTGGTGGGTAGTGATGCATAGAGAGTAGTGGGTAGTGGGTAGTGGGCAGTGGGTAGTGAGTAGCGAATAGTGAGTAGTGAGGAGCGAGTAGGGCGTACTGAGTAGTGAGTAGTGAGTAGTCAGTAGTGAGTAGTGGGTAGTGAGTAGTGAGTAACGAGTAGGGAGTAGCGAGTAGTGAGTAGGGAATAGTGAGCAGTGCGCAGAAGCGGCCAGCGAGTAGTGGGTAGGTAGTCAGTAGCGACTAGTGAGTAGTGAGTAGTAGGTAGTGAGTAGCGCCTACAGACTAGAGACTATGTGGTGACTAGTGAGTAGGGAACGGTGAGTAGTGAGTAGCGGGGATTGAGTAGTGAGTATTGAAGAGCGAGTATAGGAGTAGCGAGTAGTGAGTACTGAGTACTGTGTAGTCAGTATTATGTAGGGAGTAGGGAGTAGGGAGTAGCGCGTAGTGGGTAGTGAGTAATGATTTGTGGGCAATGAGTAGTGAATAGTGAATTCGGAATTAGTGGTTACTTGGTAGTGGTTAGTGAGTAGTGAGTAGTGGTTATTGAGTAGTGGGTAGTGAGGAGAGAGTAGCAAATAGGGAGGAGGGAGTAGTGAGTAGGGAGCAGTGAGTAGCGAGTAGTGGGTGGTGGGTAGCGAGTAGTGAATAGTGAGTACTGAGTCGTGAGTAGTGAGTAGGGGGTAGCGAGAAGTGAGTAGCGAGTAGCGAATAGTCAGTAGTGGGTAGTGAGTAATGAGTAGTGAGTACTCTTTGGGGCTGGAGTTAGTGCATGGGGTTAGGGTTAGGGTTAGCGGTTTCGGTTAGGGTGAGGACTAGGGTTAGGGGTGGCGGGGGTCGGGTTCTGGAGTCAGGGGGCGGCGTGGCGAAAGGGGGGGACGGGGGGGTGCGGCCAAAAGGGGGGAGGAAGGGGGGGGTTCGGACCCCCCCTTTGAAAGGGGGGAAGGGGGGGGTTCCCGACGACGGACCAGGAAAGGAGGGGAGGGGGGGGGGGTGGTCCCCGACGACGGATCGGGGAAGGGGGGGAGGGAGGGGGGGGGGTCCTCGACGACGGATCGAGGAAAGGGGGGGGGCGGAGGGGTTCCCACCCCCCACCCCCCCTTGGGGAGGTCCAGCGGCGCGCCCTCATACATGTATCCGCCGGCCTTTTTGTGGGGCCACCAGGCTGTAGGCCGGAGGTTCGCAGTGTCCCGTGCCAGTTGCAGCTTTGTTGATGGACGGCGCGAGGGGGGGAGGCCCAAAAAACGAATTTTCACCACGCACAAATCGTATTGTCTGAATTGCTGGGGTGGGTCAAAATTTACACCCCTCACGCAGATCGGCGGGGTTAGGGTCCAAAAACACGTGGGATTTGCCACATTTCTAGAAAATTCGGTGGCACCCCTCACGCAGATCGGCGGGGTCAGGGTCCAAGAACAAATTGGATTTGCCACATTTCTGAAATTCGGTGGCACCCCTCACGCAGATCGGCGGGGTCAGGGCAGAAACACATGGGATTTGCCACATTTTTGAAATTTGGTGGCACCCATCATGCAGATCGGCTGGGTCAGGGTCACCAAAAACATATTGGATTTGCTACACTTCTGAAATTTGGTGGCACTCCTCACGCAGATCGGCGGGGTCAGGGCCCAAAAACATATGAGATTTGCTACATTTCTGAAATTCGGTTGCACCCCTCACGCAGATCGGCGGGGTAAGGGTGCAAACACACATGAGATTTGCTACATTTCTCAAATTCGGTGGCACCTCTCACGCAGATCGGCAGGGTCAGGGTCTAAAAACACGGGGGATTTGCCACATTTCTGAAATTCGGTGGCACCCCTCACACAAATCGGCAGGTTCACGACGTCTTACCAATCGCCAGGTGTGGTAACCCTTCTGGTCATCTATTGGTTTTGCTCATTACGAGTCGGCCTCGCATGAAGTTCTGATACTGCTTCACCCAGGCCTGATGACATAGCTCTTGCATAGCGCATTATCCGAGAGAGGGGGCTGGCGGCAGGGGGCGAAGTCCTTACGGACATATATATATATATATATATATATATATGTGTGTATGTATGTATTTACATATATATGTATATATAGATATAAATATCTATGCATGTATGCATGTATGTATGTATGCATGCATGCATGTATGCATGTATGTATGTATATACACACACGTTGGAGTAGCATCGGGTTTACGGTGGAACATTCCCGCACGAATGTCGTTGCATTTCTGACGGGGCAGACGTGTGAACTAGACAAAGCATAGAAACACTGCGCGCCGCGTGAGGACTCCACCATGTTCTTGGCCAGAAAAAAAAGGTTTCACGCGAGACGACATACGTCAGGTTGAGGCGAGGGTGATTGCGCGCCATCTTACGCGGGTAGCTGACGATCGAATGTCTGCGCAGTCGACCCCGGTTCCCCCCGTCGCGCAAGAGAGGCCTCCCTCATAGAGGCCT